TTATCAAAAAGGACTTTTTTGTGCCAAACGTGCAGAAACTGCGCCGGAATGAAACATTTTCGTCGCAAAAATAGATTTAGTAGTTCAAAAAAAATTGCATTCTCTGTACACGCAAGAAATGTCATTTCTAGCACTACTCCTTCGTTATTCGATACTCCCATACGTATTTTGCTGAAGAAAAATCTGTGTTTTATGCGAAACAAGGGACAGTAGTTTTTCGTTTCGACTGTCTAATAATCACAGACAACAAATGAACCCTTAAATGAAACAATAATAATGATATGATAGCAATCTTGTAACTTAGGGATAAAATATTTGTTGATAAATTTTCCTCTATATGAGATATTTTCATCCTGAACAGGCACCGTCTGGGGTGAATTATCCGCCTCTTTAGCCAAATATTTTGTTGCTGTCGAAAGCAGAACGATTATTCATGTTTGGGACTTTCAAATTCAAGCCAAACAAATTCTTTTTTGGAAATTTTCAATTAGCGATTCTGTTGTTTGACAACGTGTTTGTTTTTCTCTCAGTATGCCTGCATGGGAAATTTTACTTTACAGAAGGATAATTTTTGCCTCCATATATGTTTTTTTAGCGCACGAATCGTAAAATATCCTCCACAAACAGGTATTGTTTCATTTAATTATATTTCGTTCCACGACTCCCTTCCGCATAGTAAAATTTGCCACGATTTTTCGGTAATTTTTATTCAACTTTTTCCCTCGTGCAGGTTTCAAATTAAGACTATTGCACATCTTATTCTAAGACTTTAGATATTTTAAAATAAGGTATTTTTTGTGTATACACGGAGAGAAATTTTCGATAAAAATTATCCTACGGTTCTATAAAAGTGTATCATGAGTCATCGTTTCCTCATTTCTATCCCGAAATTTAGTAAAAATTAATATATGATGATCAAATTTTATTCTACGTTAGAGAAATTTTATCCTGACGCATAATAAATTTTACCCTATCTGTACAGTAATGTTATTTTTATCAGGATACAATGTCTCTGACGTAAAATAAAATTTGATCATCATATATGAATTTTCACTAAATTTCGGGATAGAAATGAGGAAACGAGACTCATGATATACTTTTATAAGACGGCAGGATAATTTTTATCAAAAATTTCTCTCCGTGTATCTTTCTCCTTATAAATTTTAGTAGAACAAATTCCTGAAAATCTGCGATTTTTACTGTAAACTAAAAACTTTTCTCCTCACCGAATTTGTGACATAACATTTATCAGGGATACCCAATCACAAAGTTTCGACAATATGAGACGTTCCGACATCGAAATTACCAGAAAATGCCTAGAATTGTGTTAGACCCCTCATCGTATACAATACGTAATGAAATTACAGGTTCCATTCAACGAGACATGCATTCAAGACAGAATGATGGACATGCATGAATTATACCACTGCATTTAATCCGCATTGAAATACAGATGACGCTCGTGGTGATAGATCAATTGTATTCCTGATATCTGATAATGTCCGGAGGGGGGAATGCCCTGACACGCATGATAGCACAATGATTTTCTGTATCCAGCATTAGTTTAGCGTGCGATTATCACTGAGTAATTTGCCTAGCAATGCGTTACCGGAATTATTGCAGAAGACTGACTCAATGCATATATTCAGCGACTAGATTCTCGGATAACGTTTTCATAGGAATTCAAATTATTCGGGTGGAAACTAGGGTGAGATGTGTATTCGAATTTGTGATCGCGATAATCGACAAATATTTGGCTATTTTATTGTGATTATTTGGAGGCATAGTCTTGAGTTATTAAATTCCATTTATGCAGGAATTTAATTTAATTACGATAGCTGACTGCAGGGGGGGTGTCCTTCAAACCAATGGAACTACAGCGGCCTGAAATTCATTTCTTTGTTGTGTTGTGCACCAAAATTCTGCCCAGTGGAGATTCAAAAATTTTATTTTGGTCTGAAGCGTATTTTACGAACTTTAATGTGAGATATTCTATACCGAACCGGTCAACACGCACTAAAAAAATTTATAGAAAAACCTAGCGAATTCGTTAGAAAATTCTATTGAATTTCTATTGAACTTTCTATTTGTTTTGGGCCAATTCTATTGAAATGTTCAATGGAATATTGAAGAATTCGATTTTTTTAATCCTGAGAAATATGGGTGCAATTTCGTGAATAGTTGACCAGTAATTTTCAGGAGTGACATAGAATTTGATTGAGGACGAGAGAGATAATAAAATTTCACATTACTAAAAGTTCGATGAAATTCTAAATTTTTGAGCATTTTTTAATTAATTAAAAATTCATAAAATATTGACCTGAATTTTCACGATTTCTACCAATTTGCATGGAATATTTCCCCTCAAATCTACAGTTTCCATTGACCTTTCCATAGAATGTTGAATTTTCAACTACGGAATTCCCTGAAATTTCAGTGCAATTAAAATATCATAAAATTTTCGAAGAGGTGTACCGAAAAATCCAGCTAAAAATGTCCACAGTGTAGCATTGATATCAAACAAACCTTTGCATTGGCTCACCCAATTCAATCAATTCAAATCATCCCCTCAGAATTAATAAAATCTACATTTTAAGCTGAACTGAAAACCCCTCGATCCACTGCGATGCATAAAATTTCCACCTACATCCACTCGAAAAATTCAATAAAACGAGCAACGATGAAGAGCCCATACAGTGAAGTGCAATCGGCGAGAAAGATAAATATTCGGGAAAATCACGGGCTAGGGATGAGGATGTTCGGTAAAATCGATGTGCCGTACATTCTCATCCTAAGTAATTCCAGTGAAAGTTTAATAAGTCAGCGATCGATAGTCACTAAATAATTCAGATAAGGAGTGGAACGGAAAAAATGACTTGCAGTGAAAAGTTTTTCTCATTCCCCGCCCCTCCCCGGGGGCGGAAATGCCGCGCGGAAGTAGGAAAGCACTGCAACGGTTATGCATATTTCAGTGCTTACGCCTGTAATCCTATTTTCATGTTGGCTCGACGCTTCATCCGTTACGAGTTTACCGGGTAATAGAAGCCTTCAGCGTGAGGTTTCCTTCATCTTGAATCCCGGGTCGTGCACGCGGAAGAGTCTCGGGATGTGTAAAAATTCATCAGCATAATGGAGCAATTAATGGTAATTGATGAGGAAGGTCTGTGAAATGTCTGCTCCATTTCTTTGAGCTGATTAGATGTGCAAATTGAATGAAAACGGGTTGAAGATAAGTGGATTTGTGTGGACTCTGAGGTGATATAGATATTTTTTCCCTGAGTGGGACTGTTTCTACGGAGGAAGTTGTAATTGGTATTAGTCATGTCTGAGATATTTTGGTTGTATACAATTGTTGTTTTGGTTTTTATTTTTAACGAAATTCGTCGTATGAAGCTTGCGACTGGACATCGCCCGAGGACCTCTAGGCTGATATATAAATTGATATTTATAATTATGTATCATTTGGCAGAATATGATTTATCAATTTTTTTCTTAATAAAATTCCCGGGATTTGACTCGGAAAATGAAAAAAGATCTAACTGCACTGTTAAAAATTTTATGGAAAAATCTATGAGAACTGTGAATATCAGTTGAATTATACCGTAATAACGAATAGAAATTAGGAAATTTTTATATTTTTGAATTTTCAATTAATGGAACATTTAGCGTAATTTGGTACTGAATATTCATGTTTCGATTGACATTTGAAGTTGCGAAATGCTCGTTTTCGTTTTGCTAAAAAAATTGCAATTTTATTAATTTTTTAGTGAAATTTGTAACTTTATGATTTTTGCTCCCAAAATCGAATTCAATGTCGCTCTCCAGAAAGTCACTAGGCAATTGTAGTTGTCTGGGGAATTGTCGGATATGATTGCAAGGAAGGCAAACTCAGAGAAAAATAAGTTATGATTTTCATGTTTTTCAGGTGGCCAGAGCTCATTTTTAGGAATTAATCCCCAACTTTTAGCAATTCGCAATTGTAAAATTCAGTGATTTTGTCACCTATCTCCGGTGACATTATCATTAATTTCTGATGACATTGCCACTAATTTTAGGAAAATGCCAATGGATTTCAGGGACCATCTCTAATTTTGAGGAATGTATCATTAATTTTCAGTGATCAAAATCACTAATAATTAGGGTTATTTTCCTCACTGTCTTGTATCACCAAAAATTGGTCAAAGATTCACACCAATCAGCGACATATTCCTGACAATCAAAACCATTTTTTCCCTATGAATATCGAACTTTACCTTAAAACTTGCTCCCCTCAGGTCACAACAACCCAGAAAAACTTTTGTCTTGAATTGAATAAACTTTATTTGAATCAAATGAATTCTTCACTAAAATCAATAATAAAGTACATTTAATTCCAATAAACAATTTTCTGGGTGCAGCCATACGCCGTGAATTCTCATTTCTCATTTCAGCAAACTCACATGTAGATCACATCCTACCATATCGCTCCACTTCCCTTCGAATTCCTGTCTTTCCCCCACGAACGAGTGTTCAGTACAAATTCATTGTTTGATGAAAAATGTTTGTGAAAACTTTCAAGCGAAATACTCCGCATAATTCACTGAATTTTTATGCGGGATCAAAAGAACCTTTGTGCAATTACGTAAACATGCTGTATCACCGCCAAAACAGATGTCTGTGTCCCTAAATTCTTGAAGGGGTGAAGTCGGGCCGATGAAACTTGGGAGTGGAAACAGGACAACAGAGATACAAACCTCTAGAGAGGCGTTAGTTTAAAGGCTTTGTAGTAGAGAGTTAACTTGGCAACTACTGTGGTAACGGAAGTATATTTCCCAAGACAACGAAACAACAATTCATCTGAATTTGATACTTCGCGCAACGATTAATTAATACCCTGAATCGAGTGATTAAATAATCCCTGTGTATAGATAAAATTTTGGTATTGAGGACAAATATACATGATCAGATTATAGCACATCATTACCGCGATATCACCTGTAATAATCCCGTGTCGATTTCAGATTTGATCGTCTCGCTTCGGAACACTACTGTTTGAGGATCAAACTCCTCGGGGATTGTTATTACTGCGTATCAGGCCTGCCCGAGGCTAGACCGGATCACGCTCACTGTTGCGTCGAAATGGGACTAGACATGATTGATGCTATCACGTGAGTACAACGATATTCCCAGCGGAATGATTCATATTTGGATTGAGGACGAAATAAAAAAATTATGGTATTCGAACGAATAGTTTCACCGATAATTCGTACACGAAAAAAAAAATATCCTTGAATTAAGTATATGTTGTACTCAATTGGGGGATGGGTATTTCAATTCGAAGATGATTCTTTCGTATGAGGCCGGGTTGTAGCAAGCCCTCTTAAGTGTAATATAAGAGTCAGGCCCTTTTCCTTTTCGTCAGGAGGAAAGGCCCTTTTTCCCACGGAAATGTCTATAACAATCCCGACTGTTCAATTTTTACCGCTTCATTTCACATCCAATATCTGCTTTGATACTCTTCATAAAAAATGAATGACATTTCTCGAATGCATTGAATATTATCTCATCAAACTCGGAAAATACCCCGAGGACCCGAATAAAAAATAACTGCGATATCCGAACAATCCTTTGACAATTCCTTTGTCAGGCAGAATAAACCGTAAGGTTCCGATGCGTACAATAAAAAAGAAGAAACAAAAAAAAATACCTTTGTCACATTACCAGACGTACGACCGAAAACAGCTGTTGCGAACATCAAAGCGTACCATTTCCACCCCACTCCAATTATCGCAAACCAAAAATCGAATTACTTGTATCCAATTCACAACTCAGTGAATTTATAAATTGACCTGCAAATACAGCACTATTTGTTCTCACAAACTGGAGAATAATAGCAACCCATCGCGCTAGTATTTCCCGCAGGGTGGATGGATAATTAAGGCAACTTGAAGAGCTATAGTTTCGTTGAAACAACTGGCCACATCACTGCCTGAACTAGCCTGTAATGGTTTCGTTTCCTGGGCATTGTTTCCATTTAATGAGATATCTCCTTCATGCCTACACCAGAAACCCCACAACTTTTAAACCACCCGAGAAAATTGTTCTGAATCAAGTGGAAGAATCGATTTGAATCAAGTCGGACAGAATCATGCTAGGAATTGATTTGAATTTATTTTATGACGATTGCGTGAATTAAATCTCACACGAAGAGATGCATCATGGCACCTCGATTTGAATCAATTTGAAGAATCGAGTTGATTTAGGTCGAATGGAATTTGATTCAAATTGATTCTTCAACGCCGAGCGTTCGGCTTGGATTGTGCCAAAAAAATCTGGATTCAAGTAGATCGCGAATTTATTGAAGTATCTTTTCTACTCGATTTCAATAGGAAGACTATGATTTACTCTATTCGACTTTTCGACTCATTTTAGCTCACTCAAATAAAGACGATATTTCGACTTTATTCAAGTCAATTCTTTGAATCCACCTGTTCGGCCGGATTTAATCCGTTGGTTACACTGATAGAGTGATTAATTTATTCCAAACCAGATTCGTTAACTATTAACGAATGTTAGAGTTAGATATGACCAAATAAATATTCGTTAATAGTTAACGAATGGTTCACTTGAACGCTGAAAGTCAATTTGTTCTGAATCGAGTCGAAGAATCGGTTTGAATCAATTCGGACTGAATCATACTGGGAATTGACTTATTTTATGCCGTAATCGATTGCGTGAATTAAATCTCACACAGAGACATGCATCCCGGTGCATCCCGATTTGAATTCAATTTGATTCAAGTCGATTCTTCAACTCCGATCATTCAACATGGATTGCACCAAAAAAATCTTGATTCAAGTAGATCGAATTTATTGAAGTATCTTTTCTACTCGATTTCAGTAAGAAGACTATGATTTACTCTGTTCGACTTTCCGACTCATTTTGACGATTTTATGAATCCGTTTCTTGCACTAATAGAATGATTAATTTATTCCTAACGAGATTCGTTAACTATTAAGGAATGAACATTTGGTGAGACTGAACAGACCCTACGCTCCAACCAAATCCATTTGCCAACAATAACTAATCCTTTCTATCAATGTAACCTTAAATCACGAGAATGTCGACTTGAATCAGTCAGTTTGTTCGGCTTGAATCAATCCATTTCTTGAATCACTCCTTGTCTTATCTCTTGTCTTATCACTCAACTCTCTGTTGTCTTTCAGACTCGTCCGAGAAGTTATGGCTGTCAACGTAAACATGAGAGTTGGCATCCACACTGGACGAGTTCATTGTGGCGTTTTAGGCCTCCGTAAATGGCAGTTTGATGTATGGAGTAATGACGTGACTCTGGCAAATTACATGGAGAGTGGCGGTATCCCCGGGTGAGTGGCCCTATCGTCCTTCCAAATAAATTCCCAACCAACCAATAACATATAAAATATCTTCAGGCGTGTTCACATAACGAAAGAAACACTGGACTGCCTCGGTGGTGATTACGAGGTGGAAGAGGGTCACGGTGGTGAGCGCAATACCTACTTGAAGGATCACAGAATTCAAACCTACTTAATAGTCCCCGGTGATACGTTTAAAGACAACGTAACCAGCCCCAACATGAAAAAACCTTATCCAGCAAATGGAAACATTTCAAAGGAGATGAGGATGATGGGTCACGGTTCACAGCACGGAAAGCAGGCGAAACTTGGCTTCGGTGAAACCATTGAAAGTGAGAAGGATCCCGAGGATGAAGTGAATGAGTACCTGATGAGGGCCATTGATGCACGTAGCATAGACAGACTCCGTGCTGAACATTGTACCCCATTTCTCCTGACATTTAGACGGCCTGATATTGAGGAGAAATATTCAAGAGAGCGTGATCGTATGCTATCAGCATACTTCGTATGCTCTGGTTTCGTTTATATCGTTGTTGTTGTTGCAATAGCAATTACCCTGTCTGGAAGTGTTTACTTCTACGCGTGCACGGGTGTTAGTTTGTTCATAATAATTCTCATAAACATTGTCTTACTAGCGGAGAAAAATGAGAGAGTGCCACAATGCATGAGAAACGCAGCAATTGCTATATTTGAGAATCGAATGGTGGCACAAAGCATCGCCTCGATTGTTGTCTTCCTCACATTCATAACAGTGCTCTCTCCATTGGTGACCCTCGACAACAATGATATCTGTCGGAACAACACAACGCCCGCAGCTTCTCATGAAAATTCTTCCGTTGTGGTTCAAAGCATCCCTATCTCTCCAGGACCCTGTTACTATACATTATTCACAGACGTAAGTGCACTCGAGTTATATTTGCCTTGTTGAATCGAAATAACAAATGCATAGTATGATTAATCAACGCGTATTCTTCCATTGCAGTTATTTCCAGTGCTGGTAATGCTTGTAATGATAACATGTGCTGTATATCAGATACTCACATCAGTTTTCAAAGTGGCTGTATTGAGTATTGTAGTTGCTTGTTATTTGTCCGTGAGTATCTATCAAGCGCTCAATGAGGAAAACATCGATCAGACTGGTAGATGGCTAGCTGGCGTTCTGGTGATATTCTTCATGGCTTTTCTCGTCGCCCACTCTCAACACACCGAGGCAACTTATCGCCTTGACTTCCTGTGGAAACTCCAAGCGACTGAGGAGAAGGAGGAGATGGAGCATCTCAAAGCCTACAACCAGAAACTACTTGCTAACATTTTACCTGAGCATGTAGCAACACACTTTCTCTCTACCTTCAACAGTGACGTTAGTAATTACCGTATATTCACCAAAATTTATTCACACATAATGTACTCACATGTACCCACGTGTATTTCACTTCTCGTAGGAACTCTATCACGAACAGTGTGACTTTGTCTGCATAATGTTTGCGTCCATTCCAAACTTTTCGGAATTCTATGTGGAGCTCGAGGCTAATAACGAAGGGGTTGAGTGCTTGAGGCTGTTGAATGAAATCATTGCGGACTTCGATGAATTACTCGCTGAAGAGCGATTCAAGTCCATTGAAAAGATCAAAAGCACTGGCTCAACATACATGGCAGCTTCAGGTATTATGACATCTCGTTAATTAATACTCAATGGCAATGAATGACAATTTTCAATTAATGTTTCCTTTTCAAACTTCTAATAAGGCCTCACCAAGAGCACTCGGGACACGAAAGACTTCAAACACGTGACGGCAATGGCTGATTATGCTCTACGTATACGCGATCAATTGGCCTACGTGAATGAGCACAGTTTCAATAACTTCAAGATGAGGGTGGGAATAAATATAGGACCTGTCGTTGCAGGAGTGATTGGTGCACGTAAGCCGCAGTATGATATTTGGGGTAATGCTGTCAATGTTGCATCGAGAATGGATTCAACGGGTGTACTTGACGGCATTCAGGTGACCCAAGAGGTTCGTGATATCCTGCATCCTAAGGGGTATCCAGTCACCTGTCGGGGGACTATTCAAGTCAAGGGTAAGGGAAGCATGGTCACGTATTTTCTTGATGGACCGAGGGATCCGTCCAAGATGACTACTATACCGGAAAATGATGCTGGACATCTCGATAATCATGTGGAGAAGATAAATAATTCAAGTCATGGAATGACATTGTGAGAGTACTAATCGGCTGATTCATCGTGAGAATCCTGATATCTGGGAGATGTGTATTCTATCGGTTATTGTTACTGACTGATGTTCGATGTAATACTTCTAGATTAAATAACGAGCGGAGACATTGAGAAGGTCACGAGGAGTAGAGGAGATCGAATGTTGCTTCTGCGAATGTTGGAGCGGAAGTTGAGATACAACTTAATGATTCATGTCTACGAATTTCCAGGAGGACCTGAAATCCTGATCAATCAGGAGATCGGAATTATTCATGGGGGGCTTGAGGCAGTGCAACTTGGACGAAACTACGCACATTTGGCCCAGTGGAATATGTATATTTTTTATCCTAGTTTGTAGAGTAGTTACACTCATACTCTTTTGACGAATCAAGTGATATGAATTAGAGCTCTCGACTGTCTGTACTGCCAAGTCGATTGTCGTCAAATGCGTGTCAAAGGCGTGGACAGCGAGATACTTACCTTCTGTTTAGGGACGTTATCATGAAGTTATGAGCACCGAAGAAAGGTAAATTAGGACGTTGGGAAACGTCAAATGATAAGCAAGCTCTCTCTGCGTTCTGTACTATCGACGGTTGACGTTGGAAAGATGAGACTTAGCAGCGGTCAATGACGACTGATGCTAGACGATTCCACTATTAGATCATTCAACTGAAAATTTTGATCAGAATTATCAACTCGTATTAACGGCGGAGAAGGAATTCAAGGGTTCTTCCATGATGCCTAGCCATCGGCATTGTAAATAACATTCAATTATGATAATCACATTGTCTATTACTAGTCCAATGTTACTGAACAGGCCTCTTTGTTAAACAATAGTTGAATAAGAAGACAAACAAATATTTATTTTTAGATGAAACAGATAATTCAATTTGAACATTTTCCGCACATTCCATGCGCATTGATGGCGCAATTATTTTTGGTGCTACTAAATATTCGAAAATGTATTCTAGTCAGTAGAGATGATGGATTGGATTATGGCATGTTGGTGAAGTTTAATACAACGAATGATCGATTATATGATCGTTGCTTCGATTGGAATTTCATGATGTTTGGGGACCACGGTTGTAGATGGATAAAGTTAGAGATATTTATCTATTGGAGTGAGATAAGGGGAAAATGTGAATGCATATGCATATACAGTTGATCTTCGATTGCAAGTTGAGGTGGAAATAAAGAGAAAGTTCTATGCGCTATACATGTGAAGTAAGACAAAAATATATTTATGGCGCTCTTCAAATTCATATTGAGAAAATGGAATCTCATACTATTTGAATGTATCACATTACCACGGTGATGAATACGCTTAAGTATCGTTTACATGTGGTACGTGTGGTATCGTCAATATTTTGGCAGAGCGTGTGCTATTTCAATGTGCCTGACTGGTTAAATGTGAAGCATTAGGTTTAAGTTTCCAAATGTGAATGTGTCGCGCGTACTTAAGAATAAATATGTGATAAAGATGTTAATTAATACGTATAAACTTCTATTATAAGTACCTTCAAAATGTCTGTATATGCCCAACAAATGAAAGAAAATATTAACTGTCAATCGAATATTTCAGCGTCCAAATTACTAGTCTATTTGTGCTTTGACAAAGAGCAAAACTCTCAATGAACACAATTATAACTAAGTTTAAAGAGAATGAAACAGTATGTATTTTGAATCAAGGAGAACGAATTACGATAAATATTGACTCGAAAGTACTTCAAGTCCCACCTAATAGTCAATAACAGGGAGAAATGATTCTAGTGGAAAAATAGTATTATTAAAATTTTAATGAATGATTTAGATGATTTAGAATTTAAAAATCTGTACACAATGTTTGACATTTCTTCAAGGCCTAACAAACAACTGAAATTATATCTGAATGCGAGAACTACTGCGATCATTTATTTGTGCAATGAAACAGTTTGCCATCTTTTAATTGTGCAATGGACAAATTTTATCAAGTTCGTGAAATACATTTTTGAATAAAATGATGTAAGGAATACACATTACTGACACTTTGTTCTTTCTTCCTTTCACATAGAACAGTCCCTAATGACCCCGATGTCAATGCGATATATAAACCCAAAAAAAAATTACTTCCCACAAGTACCAAAGGTACTCGTGAAAAGTAATTTTTCAACTTATCTGAAGTACTTCTAGGACTCAATTTCAGTACTTCCAATTGATTACTTTATTGAAAAAAGTGAATATTATTACCGGATAGAATGGGCTCTCTTACGCATTTTTGTAAATAGAAATGTTCAGCAGAAGATATTTTATAAGAAAAAATCAATAGATTTCAATTTTTATGGATGCTTTCGAGAATTATTGGCATGCTTTTCATCCTACAAAATTTCAATTTTGCTGAGATTTTTATGTTTTATGTTGTTCTCAACATTGAAAAGTCTTCGAAAAATTATTTTCAATTTCTTTTCAATTTTATTACTCACAAAACGAGAATTATTTGGATTTTTGAATTTTTCACGAAATTCGGTTTTTAGAGAAGGTAGAAAAACATTTTTGAGTTCTTATACTCAACTTATATTGAGTTTATTTAGTACTTTTGGAAAGAGCCAGCCAAAATACTTGTAACAAGTACTGAGGTACTTCTCACTAGTACACCGATACTTGACGCATGATACTTGCATCAAGTTGTTTTGTAACTTCGAGGAAGCACAAAAATGTGCCTTTTCCCCGGAAATCCCTTGGTACTGGGTACAAGTACTTTTTCTACTGATCAAAAGTAAGTTTTTTTTTGGGTGTAAGAGAACAATAATAAAAGCAAAAGCAGAATAGAGAATTACAAAAACAGGTCCAACAAGATTCGAGAAACAACTTTTTTCAAAAAGAACGCAATAGATAGTGACGGTAGATGCGCAACCAACGGTAAACGATCGATGGGCTACATATTGCATACAGTAGCTGCGCGCGCATCGGCCTAACCGGAGGTCTGTGCTGAGATAATTTGGATTAAACACGTGGTTGGTAGTTGCCGTGCCAGCGGTTCAATGATAGGAAATTGGTCGCCCACACTTCAAGTGAAAAATAACTATTCGCTTGATGAATTGAATACTTCTATCCAAGTAATAGTGTAGCACAATGACAATCACCAACGCCGAAATAAACAATTACAACCATTTATCAACCGCGGACTTCGCCTTTGTTATGCTAAAGAGACGCACCAGACGGTCTAAATGAAGCGCTTTCTGGTATTTCACAACAAGTAAGTGGAATTTCGTCACATAATCTAGCTTTGAAATATAATGACCTAATCGACGTGAAAATAATCAACATTGTTACATAGTTGTCATTCCATCAATGTAGATACAGCACACACTAATGAAGAGATAAGTAATCAATCCCACTCCAAGTAAGAAGTGAATAATAATAATCAGGACGGATCGTTTTCACGGTTTAAAATGGTTTCTCTTAGTAAGTTTCTTATCAGTCATGAGAATATCGAATTACACTCTAACACTATCATAAAAAACAACGATCAACATTGTTTTTTTTACGTTTAGAGATTGCTGTGCCTTCTTCGGGTGGAGGGGAAGGAGACATGTGAGCAGTTGAATGTGAAATAAGCAAGGAGTCGGACCAAACCGCCTGTTTGGAACGAGGAAACTACTTGGAATATTACCGGTCGCTCGAGGATCTTGTTGACTAATCGGACCATTTGTGATTATGAACATGAATACCTTACCGTCAGAGGTAGGTCTCCAACTTCTCGTTCACTAAATTCTCTTTGTTATCTCCACAGTGAGCCCATTTACGATGTCTGAAAGTAGTAAAACAAAACAATTTATCTTCAACTGTTACGAAACGGTTCACGGGATCAACGGTTTCTTTTTTTTCAAAGTAAAGTTATCAGTACTCACTTCTGTTTCAGCCCGATGTTAGAGAGCATCGTCCACATGGAATCCTAGAGAAATACTTCGGATGGGTGATGTACGTGTCCGTGGAGCCCACCATGTGGCTCTACATGATGGCTTACATGGTGACGTCTGTCGTTGAGCAAGCTTTTTTTGTCCACAAGGCATGCCGCGTCAACCACGGATTCTCGGAAGAGGTCTGCAAGAACATCAGCGCGAATGAAACTGTTAAGGATGTAGTGCAGGTGATGTGCTATTCATTTCAAAGCATAGAGCTTAAAGAGGATGAATTCCTGAAATTCTTTCACACCCATCCCATCCTTGACAAAGCACACAGAAAAACCTAGACGTAAATTACGTTTAAGAAGTTATTTACGCTTTCTGAAGTGTATTTTACGCTTGAAGTTGAAGCGTTACGATTACATAAACGTAATTTACGATTTTGGATTTTGGATTCGTAAATTACGAGGATTTTTCTAGTGTTTCACGTGTTCTTATCCGTAATTAACGGTGAAGAAAAAAACGTTATTTTAGACGTAAAATACGATGCTTTTTTCATAAATTACGCATATAAGTAAATCATGAAATACGTTTCTCTTAACATCATAATTTACGATTTCTTAAACGTGAAATACGCTTAGTGAAACGAAAAACGCTTTATTTGGGCGTAATTTACGTTTTTATTTTGACCCTAAAATACGCCTCTCTGAGACCTAATTACGATTTTCATGACAGAAAAGAATCCACTTAGCAAAACGTTTAGCAAAACGTTTAGAAAAACGTAATTTACGCTTAGGTTTTTCTGCATGTGCGAAACATTTTATTACATTTCCCATTCTGTTGAAAATAAGGAATAAGATGCATCTAACACTTTCACATTCTTCTTGTGAATCCTGAATAGGCAAAACAAATTTTCCCAGAATTCCTCTTCAACCACATGACTCTTGAATTACCTGCAAACAGATGACATCAATGCAATATTCTTGTAGATCTTCTGATCGAAATCGTAAAGTAATATTCAATGAATTTAGCGCACGGTATCGAACTTTCACCAATGGAACAATATAGCCGGCCACGTGGTACCAATAATTCTGGCCCTGTTCTTCGGGAATTGGAGCGATAGGAGGGGCAGAAAATTGCCACTGGTCATTGGCCTGCTGGGGAAAGTCATCTACTCGGGCATGGTGGTGGTCAATGCACTGGTGCCAAAATGGGATGTATTCATGATTATTTACACTGCCAGTATCCCGATGGGCATGCTGGGTGGAGACGTCGCAATATTTGGAAGTTGCTTCGCTTACATTTCTGATGTGTCGTCTGTCCAACGAAGGACGTTTCGAGTTACACTGTTGGATATTGTGTATCTCAGCACAATGCCGACAGGTAAATTAAGGTCATTAATGATGGAATTAACGCTTGAGGGCAACACTATAAAAAACAGGTTTCTGACAGCTATCTGAATTTAAGATGTCAGATGGTAGAAAATGTCTGAATCTTCAAAAGTTTCTGAAAATCTGATAATGTCCGGAAATTTCAACCACCGTTTACGTCTGAAAATAATGGTACACATTTTTTGTGTCTAAAAAATTTCAGGTATTTATTTTCAGATATTTTCTGTGTTGGAAATTCAGTTATTTATAAGCGATTCAAACATTTTACTATTAAGATATCTCACCTGATTTTTAAGATATTTCTCATGTCTGAAAAGTTGACTCATCCACTGCAAAAATTAGGTGTCTGACAACCATCTGAATTTAAGATGACAGATGGCAAAAAATGTCTGAATCTTTAAAAGTGTCTGAAAATCTAACTGATGTCTGTATCTTAATTTCAGACATCTTGGTGTCTGAAATTGAAATATCTCCATTGATTCAGACACATTTTAATGTCTCAAACGTATCTACAAAATCGTCCCAGAAGACATTAGTTTTCGCAGTGAATGCTTTGAATGCAATGCCTTCTGTCAACTTTTGATTTTCGATTACTTTATCTTTAGGAATCGCCCTGGGATCGTATCTCTTCACGAGTGTCTTCAACGGCTCTTACGCCATAATGTTCAGTATTAACACATCTCTATTGATTCTGGCCGTCATCTACTCTCTAATCGTCCTGAAATGGCAGACGAATCCGCGTCAACAACCGCTCAATGGCATGAATCCCTTCACGGACTTCTTCGATAAAGAGCATGTAATTGCTACTGTTAAGACACTGTCCAAGAGACGTCCAAAGTTCTCGAGACTTCATCTGTGGATTCTTTTTATCGCGATGACGCTCTACACTTTCCAAAGAGATGAAAAACCAATGAGCTATCTGTACACTCAGCGATTCTTCAATTGGGGGGTCAAGGACTTCAGCACCTTTAGGACTTTCCAGTCGAGTCTCTTCGTTGCTGGTGGGTATAATTAGAGCGGTGAGAGAAAATAATTTTTTACGTTGAGGAAGCAACCTTATTTGGCGTGGATACCGAAAAAGATGATTGATATGAGTAGGACACAGTGAATAGGTTGAAGTTTGTTAAAATATTGAGATTAAGTTCCACAGAAAAAACACGCCAATTCGATAGAAAATTCCATTGAATTTCTATTTAAACTAGGTTTCTTCAACTATTAGCAATACAATCGTCGAGTTCTATTGAACTTCTATTGAAAATTCTATTAGTTTTGGGTCGATTCCATTGAAAAATTCCACAGCTTTCTGCGAGTTTTTTATGGAAAATATCCAAAAGAAACTCTTTTATAGAGAAAATCAGTACAATTTCATCTTTTTATACAACTTTTTCTATTGAGTTTTTTTGATATGAATTTTTCGACATGAATTTTCCAAGTTTATCCACTCTATTTTTCTTCAGTTTTTATTGGAGAAATAAAACAAAAAACATGAAATTTTAGCCGAGAAATTTCTGTAGAAAATATCTCAATCAAACAAATTGTATAGAACAATCAAATTCTATTCATTTTTTCTGTACAATATTTTCTACCGGACATTTGTGTAGAAAAGAAATTTAAGAGAAGATATCATAGTCATAAACCAAAGTCTATTTAACATTTGTGAAAAACACTAAACGCACTGAACGTTCTTGGCGTTGAAAATTGACAAGTCGGTATAGTGACTTGACTCAAACTCGACTTAATTCAAGTATTTTTCAAGCCTGATGTCTCTCCACCTAAATGGTGACTCATGGTGACTCGGCGAGGTGGATTGACCGAACGTAAGAAAAACTTTTCTTGCTTCTAACAAATCTTTTTTTCCCATATATCATTTTGCCGAATGAACGAACTGCATCATGATCAAAACAAAAGTTCCCTTACGAAATCCAAAAATGTTATTTTCACACATGAAACTTTCGCTGAAGACTTGGTAAAGAAGAAAATTTGTTATTTGTAAGTAGAGATATGCTGTCTGCATCAGACGGGAACAAGTAGATTATCTACTTGAATGCCTCACTGAAAAGAAAAGAGTTTTTTTTAGAAGTACGGTTTTACTTGCACCAAGAAATTCATGGCTCGAAAATTACCAAGCACACAATAACTCATATTGAGAAAAAAAAAATTTACGCCAAGAAATTTTATATTTGTCCAGAAGATGAGGACGATTGGTCCTGATTCATTCACTGGACCAAGAAAACGAGTTCTCAAACGAATTCAATGATTTTTGCATTAAAATATTTTAGAATTGAGACTAAACAATATTAAATGCATTAATTCAATTTCACTTGGTATGAGAAATCGCTTTCTTGTCATTAAGAAAATGTCCTCGCCTTTAGGACAAGTACAAAATTTCTTAATAAAAGTTTTTTTTTCGTGGTACCAGATATCTTGCTCGTGAAAAATTTCAAGCCACGAGTTTCTTGGTTTTTCTCAGTGCAGGCTCTCGATTTCGGAATGCAAACAATAGAAACCACAGAAATAAAAAAAATCTCGTGAAGAAAAGACATTGTACCCAGACTATAAATTGTTTATAGTTGTTTGAGAATTTTTGTGACAAGAAAATACTAAAAATTGACACAAAAAGTTCCTCTTTAAATTTTAAATAAATTTATTCTCCATAAATAAATTTTATTGGATGATTTGTTTCCTCAGGCACTAGATTTCTCTCCGTTTGGGACTGTTTTTTATCTCTCCGTATTATCACTCCTCATTACTATATCAATTCTTACTGCATATTCGGTAATTATTTGTCACTTAGCTATGCTCGTCGGCGCTCCAATCTTGAGCAGAGTACTTGGCCTGAGGGATACGTACATAGTTATCATCGGAGCATTGTCCCATGCTGGCGGCAGAATTCTCTTTGCTTCCGCATTGACGCCCAATGTATTCTACGCAGGTAACATTTACAGCCAACTTTAGCAGCGGTATTTATTAATTGAACACTAAGAAATAAAAGTATTCATGCCGATATAGTATATTGTGCTACTAGTGCGCAAAGTTCCACTTTTTCGGGCGGACGTGTAATACATCCTACTTTCCATGACACTGTCCGTAAAACGTCATTTTGCGAATTCTTCGTGTCCGTCAAACGCCATTTACAAACATTGTGACGAAAAATTATGTTCGTCACTCGGTCGAAAACAACTTTTCTGACTCGTGTGATTGCATTCCTCGGCTTCGCTTCGGCCTGCAACTTTCACACTCGTCAGAAAAGTTTTTATCTAAAAATATTATTCGACAAACGGCCTAAAGAAACTTTTCTAGCTCATATGATTGCAAACTCATATTCGCCAAAAAAGTTTTTTTTGGCCTAATGACGAAACATACTATTTCTGCCTTGTGACGAGAATAGCTATTCTAGCTCGTATGATTCCAAACTCACATTCGCCAGAAAAATTTTTTTTTGGCCCAATGACGAAACATACTATTTTGGCCTTGTGACGAAAATAGCTATTTCATCACACTGTTCGTAAAGCGACGTTTCCGTCAAACGCCGTTTACGGACATTGTGCAGAAATAGTATATTGTGCCCCTAGGGAGTAAAAGTATTTTCTGACGAATGGGACGTTAATCACATGAGTCAGAAAATACTTTTACTACCGTGTGGCACACGATATTTTATGCCTCGGGGACCGAAAACCGCGATTTAACCGAGCGAAGCGAGCCCAATAATGAAGTGGTGAACTCGTGGGGGTAAATGGTTGTTTTTGTGCACGAGTGCGGAATCCACTTTACGCAGGCTCGTGAACTTCACACACGCCGTGCGGAAAACAATCACTTTACGGACACTGAACCATTTAGAAAACTGCATTTTTCAGGCATGTATTACAAAATAGTATTTTCTTTTCGAAAGATATTCAGGTTTTGTCAATGATGACATAGGGCGCCAAAAAAATGGACGCCAAGAAATCAGCGGCAAAAAATCGGCACTAAAAAGTCCTGTTCTATGCGGAAAACAACCACTTTACGTACATCAAACCGTTTCAAAAAGTTTACTTTTCAATCAGGTATCACAAAATAGTATATTTGGCGCTCGCCGAAGGCGAGCGCTGCCCTCTCAAGGGTCAAAGAACACTTTTCCGACGAGTGTCGAATACCATTTGTCGAGCGCCAAAAAATCGGTACCAAGAAGTCCGGTTCTGTACGGAAAACAACTGCTTTACGCACACCAGACCGTTTCGAAAAGTTTACTTTTCAAGCAGGTATCACAAATCAGTATATTTGGCGCTCGTCGAAGGCGAGTGGTGCCCTCCCAAGGGTCAAAGAACACTGTTCCCACAATCGTTAAACACCATTTTTCATCACAGTGTATGGAAAGTGGGATTTTGCGCACGCGGAGCATGTGTAAAATTTCACATTATTCTCAAGTTATGAAAAATTTACTTTACCCAAATAAATAAATTCCCGAAAATGATAGATGCCCGAAATTTCCGCTAAAATCTTCATCAGAATTCTCACCTCAAACAGATTTGTCTGACATGAACAAATTTTTTAATCCAAATTACTCATTGAATTCTCATCTTTCCTATTGCAGGCGCCGCCGTCGCCGCATTGGGACCCGTCATCGCACCTGTTCTACGATCGATGACCTCCAAGGTAGTTCCCGTCAATGAAAGAGGTAGTGTATCATTTTACACAATTAACTCACAATCAGTTGATAGATTCGAAGAAATTTAATCAAATTAATGGCTTTTTAGGAAAAGTTTTTGCTGTTCTCTCTGTGTGCGATAATGCAGTTCCATTGTTCAGTGGTGTTTTATACTCCCAACTGTACAATGTCGCTTATTACACAGTTCCCAATGCAATTTATTGGCTCACCTTTGCCACGCAAATTGCCGTTATGTTTTTAATAATGTAAGTAACGATGGTGCGACGCAGTTAATTAACGTGAAAGTATTAATGGATTGATCTGATGGTTTCAGTGTTATCCATGTAGCTCCTGGAGCTAACGATCAGGAAATTGAAGACTATGAAACTGGTAATTGGTCGGTTATAGATGGACGCCCCAGCAAGCCCAATAATGAAGTGGTGAACTCGTAGGGAGTTATTTTACATATCAAATGTCGAATGACAGTATTTTAGGTGATGTCTAGGATAGGTTTAATGTTTTTTTTTTTTTTTTGAGATTTACTCAATTGTTATTGTTCAGGGAATCATTATATATAAGTACCATCATTTATACGTCATTATATGTGAATAAAAGAATTCATTGAACTTTTGAAAAATGGATCGTTAATTCATTGCTGCCATTTTCTCGCACTCAATATACTATTAAATTTTTTTTACTGGAATTTTCGGTACAGTTCTCGGAGAGTTTTATCACATTCTATGTCCACGGACATTTGTAGGGATTTAGTAATTGAAAATTCCAAATTTTATGGAACAATCAATGGTAATTATAAATTTGACTTTGATTATTCCATGGACATTAATGAAAAGCAGGAAAATATGGATAAAATATTCTTGATTTAGTGTGAGATATTGTGAGCTTGGTAATTTTCGAGCCATAAATTTCTTGACACAAGTAAAGCCATACTTATCAAAAAACTCTTGTATATAGGGGAGGTTGGCGTAAAACGGACACTTAACTTTTTTTAAAATGTGAATGAGGGGTTGAAATGTTGATAAAATTTAATAATTTTTTTTTCAATAGAAAGAACAATTCTTTCCCTTTGTGACGAGCCTAAACTGAACTCAATTGATCAATTTGTTTCTGAGTTATGAATAATTTTAAAAAAGTCTAAAGTGTCCGTTTTACCTCACCCTCTCCTAATACTTTTAAATGCCTTAACTTAACAAAACTGGTGGGAAAAACTCATAAAATTGACCCCCACAAATTCCTATTAAAAAAAAAATCAGCGGATTAACAAATCAAGTTTTGTCGAAAAATAAAATCAAAATAATACCTGATTCATGCGAATCGCAATATTTGGTCAGGAGATATTCACGATTACAGACGATTCGTTTCACCCCACTCTCCTGTATATTTTATGTATTTCATGATATGTTCCCTACATATTACAATATACAAACGGTAGGCAACAAATATAATTTCCCCGAACATTTTCTCCATGGAAATCCGTCCAATAAATTGGGAAACTGCATCACATTTTTGCGATACTAAAATGAAGCACTTCTTTCTCATCCAAACGTAGAATTAAACAGTCGTAAAATAAACTACTGCTCCCGGCTGACTATTTTCTGCCAGAAAAATATAATTGCATGTATCATTATCCATTCTCATGGTGGACTACGTCCCCCTCATTAGAGTTTATGCCGCAGAGTTTCCATATAAGAAACTACAAAAGAAATAGTTGATTAAGAAAGCCAACATTAACGAAATTTGTTAATAATCGAATGATGTATGAAACGTCTATGACTCTTATGGATAATTCAACTACTCAAATGTGCCAATTTTCTCGAATGGGAGATATCTTTCTCATATCCCCCTGTATTCGACACACAAGAATAGTATAGAATAAATATATTCCTCCCATGTATTCTTTCCCACGGGTCCCACTCAACAAGTTGAGAAACTGGATCTCTTTTTTGGCATAACGAAATGAAAGATTCTTTCATTTCATTCAGACGTAGAATGAAGCATTCGTAAATCAACTGGTGTACCCAGCTAATAATTTCAAAGCAGAAAAATATAATTGCAGGGATCATTATCCAGTCTCAAGGTAACGTATATTCCCTTCATTCAGATTTATATGAGACTATGACTGTATAAGTATCACAAAAGATTAATAGAATTTTCTATAGAAGTCTCATCTCCATTAAATTTCCATATGAGTAATTATTATATATTGAAAATGGATAAAGAAATGTTTATAACATTTATAAACAACGCATATTATAACAGAATTTATAAATCAATTATATATAACTCTCATTATAATTCACACACAAATGAGCCAATTTTCTAGAATTGGAATACCTTGTATATTCCCAACGCACGGAAAAGTAATATCTTGAATAACGACCCAAAGTTGTTAATTACGAAAAATTCACCCCCTTTTTCAAGATCTTTCTGAAGAAATCCTATTCTAAAAAGAACATACACTTAAAGTCGATAACTATCGATATCTTGCAAGTCTGTCGCGCTTACTCCTCATTGGTTCCAGTCGTCTGAGGCGGCAAATTTAATTCATGCTTAATTTAATTTTGAGATTTTCAATTATGATTTTTACGATTATAGCGCGCTGTAGCGCGCGTTCGGTCTCGTATCTTAAAAAGCGAGACAAAAGTGTCATAATTGAAGACGTAATTTTTTGTCGTGTACACCCCAAGAGAAATGTACTTCTCACCAGTATCGACTGGTACTTGGAGGAGGTCCAGTTGGGGAAAGATCGAAAAATACTTGTCCCAAGTACTTTTTGTATCCTTGAGTGAGGTACCACCTGTGCCGATCAAGTAGAAATAGTACTGGGAGGACGTAGCTCCACTACGTTCTAGTAGTTCACAAATTACTTTTCACAAGTACCAAAGGTACTGGTGAAAAGTAATTTGTGAACGAGGAGACAGGGTTGCAGAATATATTTTAGCCACCCTTATCTCCCCGTTTGCAGGCGGTGTTTAAATAAAAAATAGTGAACGTTGATTCTGTATTTATTGACCCCCTGATGCCAATGAAACCCTCGGAGGTGACGGAGAAGACGAAAAAAAAATTTTCATTTTCACATGGGTCAAGGGTCAGGGTGAAAGTCGATTTTCGCCAAAACTGAATTTTTTCGCCAAATGAAGATTGATTCTGTATTTTCTAACGATTCTGATGCCAATGTAACCCCTGGAGGCGCAACCAATGTCGAAATAAAATTTTTTTTTCACCCGGAGCCAAAGGGTCAGATTTTGGGTTTTTCCAGGGGGAAAGTCGACTTTCCCCTAAATCGATTTTATTAGCCGGGTGAACGTTGATTCCATCTATTTAAGCGACGGGCTATTCAGAACTCTCAAAAGCATGTGGAAAAAGTGAAAACTGAAAAAGTTTTTTTTTTCAGATTTTCAAAGGGTCAGATTTTCCGTTTTTCCCAGGGGAAAGTTGACTTTCGCCAAAATCGAATTTTTTAGCCGGGTGAACGTTGATTCCATCTATTTAAGCGACGGGCTATTCAGAACTCTCAAAAGTATGTGGAAAAAGTGAAAATTGAAAAAAAAAAATTTGACCCGGAGCCAAAGGGTCAGATCTTGGATTTTTTCAGGGGGAAAGTCGGTCAAAGGGTCGCAAGGGTCACGAGGGCCAAAGTGTCAGATCTTGGATTTTTCCAGGGGGAAAGTCGACTTTCGCCAAAATCGAATTTTTTAGCCGGGTGAACGTTGATTCCAACTATTTAAGCGACGGGCTATTCAGAACTCTCAAAAGTATGTGGAAAAAGTGAAAACTGAAAAAAATTTTTTTTCACCCCGAGCCAAAGGGTCAGATTTTCGGTTTTTCCAGGGGGAAAGTCGACTTTCGCCAAAATCGAATTTTTTAGCCGAGTGAACGTTGATTCCATCTATTTAAGTGACGGGCTATTCAGAACTCTCAAAAGTATGTGGAAAAAGTGAAAACTGAAAAAAAAAATTTCGCTCGGATCCAAAGGGTCAGATTTTCGGTTTTTACTTGGAACAAGGATCAGATTTGTTAACAATTTCATTTTTTATTTGGACAATGCATGCAAGCGAAGGGACAAAAGTGGCTAGAATAGATTCTGCAACCTTCTCCCCTTGTTCGGTAAAAATTTCAAGCCTCTGCATGTCCTCTCCACCCTCTCGTGAAATGTCGATTTTCGAGATTAAAAAAAAACAATAATTGCATTTTTTATTTCAATAACGCATGAGTAAACAGGGATATGAACCCAGATTTAATATAGGCCCATAGAATTACGGGGACCGGCAAGGATTTGGAAAGTCTGAATACAAGTCCTGCTTACACCTAACAAGTACTGAAACGAACATAACCAGAGGTAGAAAGGTCTCGGAAGCACTTGGGAAGGGGCTTCCCAAGACCTATCCAGTTCAGAACGGAAATACCTAAGTAGAACTTGTCAGGTCCAATTATTTAACTGGGGGAAACACCATCTCAATTTTGGCATAACGAAATAAAAGCTTCTTTCATTTCATTCAGCCGTAGAATCAAGCATTCGTCAATCAACAGCCGTTCCAACCTAATAATTTCAAAACAGATAAATATAATTGCAAGTATCATTATCCATTTTCAATGTTAAATACCCCCTCACCATTAAAATTCGAAGAATTGCATAACAGATCACCTAACAATCCTAACGGATTTTTCCATCCATCTCCAGCGTCCCCGCGATCGCGATAAAAAATCATTATGCAATTACAGCAAATCCTCCACATCTGCAGAATAATCAACTTGCGGATGTCAGTGGATCTCACGAAAATGTCCCACCGACTGCCCAATGCCCCACAATCAGATTTGCTATTCGCGGCACGTTATTACAAGCGTGTCAAGGACCATTGGCTAATTATTGTTGACGATTCGCATCGAGCCACGAATTATTTTTACTACCACGGAAAAATAATCATGAATTCACTGAGCCAGATAATAAGCTCATTGAAATTAATGTGTGGAAGCAATAATGGACTTCCTTGAGTATCTCTTTATACAGATATAAAGAATACCTATCACTTTCCATGCTTTCACATATACTATAGACCGGGACTTCCGTATACATATTTACAGGTGAAAAGTAAAAGTTAAACCGGTCCGTTGAATTTCCAGACATATCTTCTCTCCTCCTTCACTCATACATTTTCATCGTATTCTCCTGTGATTTCCTGGCAAATGATAATTACTGTCAACGATGAGGATAACATACCGGTTATAATATCGTGATTAAGGATATCGTGATAGCAATCGATTCGCAGAAATAAGCCGTGCATATGGTAATGACCCAAATAAATAACCACCTCCTACTATTTTATAGAGTATAAAAAACCCGGACCCATCAATTCAATGTTCAGTTACCAATTTCTAAAAGAGGGAGACGATTCGCTTGATAAAGACCATGGTAACTTTCATGACATTGTTAATTATAATTTTTTTTATTTCGTTAAATGATCCGACACTGATGGAATAGACGGAAGAATTTAGTCGCTGCTAATGAGGCTTCTTAACTATTAACACGGAAAAAAAATTTCGAATCGGGTATATATATAATATTCTGGAGTCAGCAATATCTCTACAGTGTTCAAAAAAAGAGGAAAAGAGGAAAATTTTCAGCTGAATTTTCCGTCCCAAATTTCGGAAATTTTGATCGTGTTCAAGTTCCACTGAAATTTCGGGAAATCTTGTCATTGAACAACTAAATATTTCATTGATTATCTGTTCAAATGATCCGAAAATTAACAAAATACTTGATTTTTCAGTTCAAATATTCTGTGAAAATTCAGAAAAACCAGGAAAAATCAGGAAAAAATTGAAAATTCATGTCATTTTGATTCTGAATATTCATGTTCCACTGAAAATTCAATCAAGCTGACAAATTTCCATCTCACTCTTCCTGAAAACTCATGAATTTTTCGTGAATTCTACTTAAAACTTGAAATTTCATATCCATTTTTTTTCCTAAATCCAATTGAATGTCACTCTCATGAGATTTATTTTAATATCTTCCATGAAATTAAAAAAAAAATTTAACATTGTATTCCGGAAGTCAGGATCGTATATTCTGGCATCCGGAATAATACACCGGAATCCAAAATATTTACTTCTTGATTCCAGAATAATATTCCGGAATATTTTATGCTCAATTCCGGAATAACAGGCCGGGGACTTCCTCGCATTGAAATACGTTGCGTCTACAAGAGATCGCATGCACTGACGACACGCCATCCGAATTCAATTTACGTAAAATTATCAATTAAATCAAAACATGAAATTAATTTACGTAAATTCGGACGGCGCGTCGCCAGTACATGCCATTTCTTATAGACAGAACGTATTTCAATGCGAGGAAGTCCCCGCAATATTATTCCAGAATTGAGGATAAAATATTCCGGATTCCGGAATACAGATATTCCTAATTGCAGAATATTATATACCCGATTAGAGGATATTTTTTTTCCGTGAATGCCATTCGTTAACTAACAACTTTATAATAATTTTTAAGAAATTTAATCATAATTTTTGCTCATTATTACCTTGTAATTTGTCTATGAAATTTCATTTTTTGTAGTACACTTACTTTGTTTCATCATGATTCTAATCGACAAATTGATTTCTGAATTATGAATATTGACAAAAAAATTGAAACTTGATACTCCCTGGCTGGATCTTCCGTGAGTTCTAGACCGCCAGAACCTGCCTAGTTTTTCAATTTTTTTTTACCATGTATGTATGGTAATAATAAATAACCACCTCCTGTAATTTTATGGAATATAAAAATCTTGAAAACATTGAACTGCATTTGAAGTGAAAAATGGTGAAATTTTAAATTGGACTGAAAATTTAATGGAATTTCAAATTCTTGAGCAACTGAAAGGCAAGAATTGCCCAATTTACTTGGATTTTCTTTCAAAACATGACAACCCAGTACCAAATTGCACAGAAATCTCAATGAAAATTGAGAAATGATAATTCAAGAATATATTTACCTAAATTTTCCCGGTTTCTGCTGATTTTCATGAAACAATTGAACTAAAATCACATTTTCCATGAATTTTTTCATCAAATTCTGAATTCCCAATGACCAAATAGTCTGAAATTTAAATGTAACTGTCACTCGATGAAAATTTTCAGCTATAATACCCCAAGACCTTCAAAATTATCCGATATTTCCCGAATGTTTTGTTGCATAGCAACGAGAGGGATCAGTTTTACAGACTAAACTAGGATTTTACTGCAAAACTGATCCCGGTCGTCGATATGCAGGAACACTTGAGGGAAATAGCCGATGAATTTTGAAGGTCGAGGGGTATTCGGAGGACAATTTCTTCAATTCTTATTTTGGCCGATCAGGGTGCAGTGTTCGGGGTTACGGGATACATTTCATCAAAATGTGAGGAATATCGGTCAAATTCGTAGAAAACAATTCACAGGCTATTCCCGGCTGCAGCCCGGGAAATTATCAGTGCGAAACGCGTCACGTGACCCCGAATACTGCACTCTGATTGGTCAAAATCAGAATTGAGGAAATTGTCGAGTGAAAATTTCACTGAAAAGGAACAGTATACACTGTTAAAAATTTTCGTCTGAATTTTCCGAGCCAAATTCCGGAAATTTTTAACATGTTCAAGTTCCATTGAAATTTCAGGAAATCTTGTCATTCAAAAATTAAATATTCTGGAAATCAATAAAATACTTGATTTTTCAGGTGAATTATTCCATGAAAATTCACAAAATCAGAAAGATTCAGGGAAAAATTGAAAATTCATGTAATTTTGTTTCTGAATATTCATTTTCCACTGAAAATCCAATCAAGTCGTGAAATTTCCATCTTAGTCCCACTAAAAACTCACGAATTTCCGTGAATTCAACTTAAAACGTGAAATTGCGTAACCATTTTTTCCCTAATAACTTCGATTCAATGTCACTCCCATGAGATTTCTTCCTATATCTTGCATGAAATTTCAAAAAATTTCTAACAGTGCATCACTCATAATAATTTCCCCGCAGATGCTCTGGAAATTTCTCTTCCTATTCGCCACAATTCTGGCGACAGTGGTGAGCCTACCGGCAGATGATTCAGTCCGCGGTGGTGCAATAACGGTCTATCCAATTCCTCAGAGGCCCTTCTACGCAGGCAGTGACTCCATTTATCCAAAGCCAGCGCCTACTCAAGCGAGTAACCGTAACCGAGGATAATTACAAAAAAGAAAAGTCTCCTAATCGTAAATATGTGTCGCGAAACGAAAAACAAAACTACTAGACTGGTAGCATTGTTAGAGCACTTCAAGGTCACGATAAAACACTTTCTTCCTTATGAAATCTAATTTACGTTTACTGTCATTTCTCTGCTGAAATCAGGCATTCGGATAATTCTCCCGGAGTGGGGAGTTGGGGAGTCATATTACTGTTTAATAACACTCGTCACGTATTCTCGTTACACGTAAGATCACGCAAGACCGAGAGTCACAATTTAGGCTGATGAATTCGTTTTTTCTCAGATTCGATGCTTTGTGCAGTGTTTCTAGTGAATATGAATAAATGAATAAATTACCTGGATTATGCTTTTTTTTAAATTTCTTGTACACTATTAAAAATTTAATATTAAAATTTTGGTAAGAGTCTTCGAAATGTTTAATAAGTAACATATCCACTGAAAATTCAAGGAATTTTGTTCTTGAAAATTCTTAATTTCATAAAAAATCCGTGGGAATTGTAAATTTAAGTTTAATTATTCCAGAAAATGGATGAAAAGTCTGGAAAATTCAGAGGCATCTCTCCATGAATTTCAGGTTCGTCTGAATTTCCAGGGAATTCATTCAAAAACTCCTGGAATTCCAAGAATTTTAAAGGAACTGCGAGAAAATTTGAGGAAATGTAGCAGGGAATATTTATTTTTATTAAAAATTCATGTAAATTGGAGAATTTCCGTCGAATTATCACAGAAACCGCAAATTCCATTCACTTTTTTCCCTTAAATCGAATTCATCGTCTTTTTCCGGAAAATTTAGTCAAATGTTTTTAACAATGTATATTGTATTTTCAAAATAAAGACTATTGTGTGGGTTTTTCTGTTTAATAAAAAATCCTATCCAACGATATCTTCTGCGAAGAGAGAAAAATCTGTTAAAAATGTTTGCGCAAATTTTCATATAAAATCTTCCAGTGACAGTTCCGCCAAAATATCAAAGAACTATTGTCATTGTAAATTCCACATTTTCATTGATTTTTTATATAACATCCTAAAGAACATTGACATTTTTTTTTAAATTTTTTTGCGAATTATAAACTCGCTATATACCCCGCGGGCACGAACGACCCATATGTGGGATTGATGGTAGCAAAAAATAGAGTCAGTACCGGAGGGTCAATTATTCAATGAAAAAGAAATAGGAATCAGAAAAAATCAGGTAAATATATCCTTGAATTTTCAATTGATTGAAAATTCAAGGAAGGAAGTTAGAATAGTTTCGTTGTTGCATTGCTGAAAAATTTGAAAGTCCAGTAAATTTTGAGTAATGACAACCTCAAGAGCTTTAAAACAGCTTCGTTGCAACCAAATAAGAGTGTCAAGTTGTAAAGCGCTTAAAATCGCAAGCACCTGCGCGGGGGGTTATTCTGAAGAACTTGATACACTTGTTTGTTTGCGGAAAATACACAGAGATAAAAAATATAATTGAGGAAATAATAAATGTATACTAATAGAAATTTTGGGAAATTTCATGGAAGATATTATAGTAAATCTCATGAGAGTGACATTGAATCGAATTTAGGGGAAAATGGTTATGAAATCTCAAGTTTTAAGTAGAATTCACGGAAATTCATGAGTTTTCAGTGGGAGTGAGATGAAAATTTCACAACTTGACTGAATTTTCAATTATTCCCCGATTTTTCCTGATTTTTCTGAATTGTCGCAGAATAATTGAACTGGAAAATCCAGAATTTGATTGATTTTTAGATCATTTGAACAGAAAATCAATGGAATATTTGATTTTTCAGTGACAAGATTTCCTAAAATTTCAGTGGAATCGAGGCTTTTAATATTTTTAGTCATTCTCTCATCGTGTGACATGAAAAAACCGATTTCTTGTGGCAAGAAATTCTTTCTTTATCATAAAATGTTCATGTTCAAGTCATGAATACTTCACCGAAATCTGACATTGTCTGACACATTATCCGAAATTCCTATCCCAAGAAATGTATCCTCAAGACATGAGATATTTGGCGCAAGAAATTAGTTTTGTGATATTATGACGACATTTCTCTCAGTACAATTTTTCTCCAACTTTCTCCTTCGTACAGATTCACTATAAATATCTGTTGTCAATTGCTATTAAACCCACGTAACTTAAAAATTCTCTCCCCCACAAGCTTCCATCCTCCCACAGTTTTTTATTTCTTACTTACCGAGGTGCCGATATTGTGCGGATTATGTGATTTCTCCATCCCGTGTATCAGACTGCACCTCACGTGCAACCTCCACTGCACTAGACACAATGAGATTATTGAAAAGGTAGGTTATACCCTCACATCGAAAATATTGAGCAAGACCGTTAAAAATGAACCGAGGCCCGTTGAAAAGTCATTTCCTTTATCATCCAACCACGAAATTTTATCGATTTCTGATGACTCGAGTTTCCAATTAAATGGGCCATAAACGACCATGTTTTTTCGAAAATATGTTGCGCAAATTTTCCGTACGTTCACCAGGAAAGAGCCGTGATAATCAACATCAAGATTTTGTGTACACTAAGAAAAAAGGTGAAGTAAAGATTACTGAGAAAGTCAAGTAATCATGAAGCAAAAGTCTGTTTTGCATAAAATAAATGCGAGGCAAACGGTGAATTCTCTCCGCTCACTCAATAAAACCGACTCATTGTCTGGTAATTTGTTTTGAAATTGTAAAGTTCATCCGGAAATTCAGCCAAAATAACGCCTGTCAACGTAAATAATTACTCAATGTTTAGAAATTTTTCTGTAACAGTGATCGATTTTCTTTTCCGGGGCATTGTATGATAAATTCACACTTTCGTTCAGGGATAGGTAAATTTAGCCGATTACACTGATAGGAAAATTAATTTCATTAACCCTTAAGTGGTCGCATAATGAGGGAATCTCCGGCGGTTTTTGTTATTTTCTTTTCATACAAAAACCTCGCGAATGAAAAATCCATAAAAAATTTTATTCCAAATCGAGTTCTTGGATTATCTGACAACAATTTCGCTTCCATACCCTTCTTTCCTATTCACTGAAAGGCAATTCACTTGGAATAAATCTCTCTATATAATCTCTCGATACAATAAAAAAATAACGAGCGTTAAAAATTCAGGAGATGCCCCTGCTTCTGACGTTTATCTGTGACCCTGGTGATGCAATTGAGAATGAATTCTTATCTTTATCTTTATATTTCTATAGATATATAGAGAATAGAGATTCTCTAGATTAGATATATATAGAGAAGCATATGTATTTCTATAGATTCATACGAGAGTCCTATAGGGGTCATTCTATGAGGGTCAAATTTAAAAAAAATGATCATAGTATACTTCATACTATTCTGCGTAAATAAATGGAAGAATGAATCGTCGAGTCTCACGACAAGAGGCGTTGGTTGGTGCCTTTCGTAAATAATAAAAATCCCGATTTTTCATTTTATATAATACGAACACCTAAATATATCCAAGAAGATTTGGGGACAGCGAGCGAAGTGAGCGAGGGGGTTAGTCCCCCCGGAGTTGGAGAGCAAAGCGAGCAGGGGGCGACGCCCCCTAGTAATCAAATACGAAGTCACATATATTTGCTGCCAGAATGGGAAAGTTATATTTTTTTAAACCTATTGTAACTTTCATGTTTTGATAAAAAAATTCGGACCTAGGAGATGATGACATCGATAAGTGGATTCAATATTGATCACGCAGAAAAAGCTAAACGTAAATTCCGTTTCGCTAAGCTTAAATTACACTTGACGTCAACATGATGGCTGCTGACTTTTTTCCGTCATGAAGTTCGAAATTTAGCCTTGAAAAAGGCGTATTTTACGGTCGAAATAAAAACGCAAATTATGCGAAATTTTACGTTTCACTAAGCACATTTGACGCTTCAGAAATCGTAAATTACGATCCTAATAGAAACGCATTTTACGATTTACTTATGCGTAATTCACGCAAAAAACGTCGTATTTTACGCTTGAAATAACTTTTTTGTTCTTCGTCGTTAATTATGGATAGGTAAAATAAAATACGGAAAACATCATCATAAATTACCCTCAAAACGACCGTAAATTACCAATATGAAATCGTAAATTACGTTTATGTCACTGTAATTAAGGGCGATGTTGACCGCAATTTGCGCTTCAACTTGAAACGTAAACTCCGCTTCAGAAATCTCTGCTTCAATTTACACGTAATGCAGAACTGAGGTTTGTACCAGGCCAATAGTACTCAGAAACCTCTGAAAATAATCACTGTGATGGATAAATATTTAGATTAAAAAAATTATATTTTAAAAAGTATATAAAGAATATCTTAAATTGGCCCAATTTATTTTTAAAAAAATATATGAAATATACGTTTTATACATATTTAAAAAAATTATATGAAATTTATTTATTTATATCAAAAAAATATATCAAATATGGAACATATATTTGATATATTTTTTAAATATTCTTTATAAATTTGAAAAAAATACAAAATTGGCCCATATTATATATTTTTTAAATAATTTTTTTGATAGGGGTACTGCGGGGTGCACTTATGTAGGAATGACAGTCAAGAGAAAAAGCGATAGAGTGATGAGTAACCCCGGTGTACCCGTAGCGGATTAAATTCAGCTTTTTGTATATCACGTTGAACGGAATGTGTCATATTTCTACTGAAAAAATACAATCGACTCGTAAATGGATTTAGTTGCTATTAACGAGGTTTCTTAACTATTACCAAGATTCATTAATAGCTAATAAAGTTAGTTCGTAGTAATAATTAAGAAGCCGAGGGGCTGGTCACTTAGGAAATCACTAGACCACTCGATTGGAAATCAAAGAAGAAATTACTAGAAATCACTGGAAATCAAGTCACTTCCATTTTCGGTAGTGATGTCCAATTACTTCTGGAAATTATCGGAAATCAGTAGAAATCATTAAAAAATCAGGTGATTTCAGAAAAAATTAGAAATCATCGATGAAAGTGAAAACCAAATTTTTTATTCGAGCTCACTCATACGATCCCGTCTGACCCTCGTGACCTTCTTATGCACATGTCATTTGATTTATAACAATATTCATTTTGATCATAACAACAATTTTAACTACAATTGAAACTAGAAAAGAATTGAAAGACAAAACTATTTTTCCACTATTTGCCAACGTTGCGAACACACAAAGTGTTCGTCATCAGGGCATTTAATTATTCTATTCATCCACTCATTAGTTATTTGAAGGTTGTGACAAAAATATCTAAAACCTAAGAAATCTCTAAAATTAAACGAAACAAAAGAGTAAAGAGACACCTGTTGGAGCCCTGCATGACTATTATAACAAAAAATTCATTCTGATTCGATCTTCAAAATGCTTAGTTCAATTATAATTTACATGGAGAGAAATGTCCAGTAAAAATTACAGAGCTCACAATTCGCTAACCGATTACGGAATCGACTCAGAAAATTTAAGTGACGGTATCGTAATTTTTACCTGAATCTCCCGTGAACAATTACGGAACGCTCTAGAAAAATTCAGTGACAGTGCCGTAAAATTTCCTACAACCACATTGCGCTCTGGAATTACGGAAAAGAAACGTAATTTTTATTGAATATTTCTCTCCGTGTACTTGGCGCCACGTATGATCGTGTTGATTGATGCAATAACGCATTTAGTCATAAGAATTATTTCGGGTTCTAGATAAACCAAGGAATTTCTGTAGACAGCAAAGTTTTGGTTGGAAACAAATCAAATATTCTCATCATTGCCACAAATAAAAGGAACTAAAATTCTAGAGAAGTTTGCTGTCTTCCAATCAAAAGTTTCTCAAAAAGAGATCACTGGTATATTCAGTAGTAATTCCCCGAGAGCTTCAAAGTGATGGGGTATTTTCTGAAAACTTCGTTGCAAGAGAGTGTCAAGTTTTGCGGGATTTTTCTGCGAGACTTGGCAGACTTAGCTGTTTGCGGGGAAGCTTGAGGGATATACCCGATTCATGTTGAAGCTAGAGGGGTATTTGCCGGATTATTTCCCCCATCGGGATCTTGGCCAACGGTGGGCAGCAATTAATGTCAACGTGGTACAACATACACTTCCGCAGTTCAAAATTATGCATTTTGAAGTTTTAATTAATCTGGGAAAAGAGAGAAAAATTACAGAAAAAATAAAGGAAAAAGTTGTATTTAATCTGGAAAAATTGACCCTGAATCTACTCATTTTTACATTTGTGTCCGACATTTCAAGAGTCGAATAGTGAATTTCTATAGTAAGAATTCTCAGTGAAATTCCATTCAGAGTCATTGTCCTGAAAATCCAAGAATATATTTACCGGAATTTTCTGGTTTTCTATTCATTTTCAGAGAAAAATGGAACGGAAATTGACAGTCCTCTTTGATTTTTCCACGAAATGTTGAATTTTCAATGCCGAAATTCCTTGAAATTTCACTGATAATTAAATTCTATAAAAATTTCTAAAAAGTGTACCGGAACTTTCAGACGAAAATTTTTAACAATAGATCTCTTTTACGTTCTGTCAATTTTACCCGAGTAATTTATCCGTGCAAGAAACCGTAATTGTTGCTCCCACCGATGCAATTTTTTACTGAACGAATCGTAAGATATCTTGAAGTACTTTTTTATGAAAATACATTCCGCTCCACGATTACCTTTCAGACAGTAAAATTTGCCGGGATTATCTGGATAATTCTTCTCAACTCAACTTTTTTCTCCGTTTTTTAGCCCACTCCACCGAGAGGAACCAATTCATGAATAATTCCCAGCACTCATCGCGACTCCCGTTGCATCTGAATTTATTGGAAAAATACAATCAGCCGTGACCCCTAATGTCTATCCCTCCATTTATCTCGGAATAGACTTTACACGGATTTTGTTAAAAATTCAATGTCAACTGATACACGAATTGCCGAGACATTTGAACTTTTTCCCTCTTGCACGCGTACGCATTCGCCTGTGGGTGAGTAAACCGGGCGATGATCGTTGCTCATTGCGTCACTGCATACTACAACGATTGGGCCCAGTTGAATGTGGCCGGGCACACTCACTAGAAATATCCTCCCTCTCTCGCTCGAGTGCTTACACATAGTTATGTTGATTCGAGCTACCGCAAAGTCACATTTTCCATCCTGTCAGTCTTGTTTCCTTCTCGCGCGCGAACGGTTCAACTTGGGGACCGTCACATTCGCAATTTCTCGATTCTATCATTTGTTGTTTTTCAGTTCTACTTGATTTGAGTCAATAGTGAGTTTTGTTGATGGTTTTGGAGTTCTCCGGTTGGTGCGGCGAGGATTTGCAACAGAAATCATGAGATTTCCCGCCGTTGGGAGCCGGACAATTCAATTTCTTATGCCGGTGCTGATTGGCTCCTGCTTTAACATGGCCTCCAGCGGTCAACCCGCGTCGGGTCAAAGAGTCGGTCCATCTCTCATTCTTGATGGCATCAATAATGTCGCTAATAGTGCTACTAATTTCTGTGAGTTGTCATCATCGAATGGGAGAGATCTAAACTGAATTGCAGACTGTTGGAAATTTTTCGAAATTTTGTGGAAGATATTGTAGTTAATCTCATGAGAGTGACATTGATCAGATTTAGGGAAAAAATGGTTATGAAATTTTAAGTTTTGAGCAGAATTCACGGAGACCCACGAGGTTTCAGTGGGAATGAGATGGAAATTTCACGGCTTGATTGAATTTTCAGTGGAACATAAATATTCAGAAACAAAATGACATGAATTTTCAAATTAGTAGCGAAGTGGTAAAACGGTTTCAGTCGACTTATTTCCCAGTTGAGTTTTTGAGAAATATTTCCGAATCTAACGGAGATAGCGAAGTTTTCGTAATTACATTTGTTGTAGCACTCAGTCGGCTCTATAAAAACGGTTACAATAACAATTTTGCTATCTCCCTTAGATTCCGAGATATTCATTAAAAACTGGTCAATATAGTGAAAATTGATTTGTACCGTTTTACCTCTTCGCTACTGAATTTTTCCCTGAATTTTCCTGATTTTTTGGAATTTTCATAGAATAACTCAACTGAAAAATCAAGTATTTTATTGATTTTCGAATCATTTGAACAGAAAGTCAATGGAATATTTGATTTTTCAATGACTAGATTTCCCGAAATTTCAGTAGAACTTCGGTTGAACACGATAAAAATTTCCGGAATTTGGCACGAAAATTTAGATGATTATTTTTCTCACTCCGATTTTAGCCAATCAGAGCGCAGTATTTGAGGCTGTCAAACAGCTTTATTTCGGAAATTTCTAAAAAATTTCCGACGGAATTCACTAGTAGCTTTTCAAATGTTTCTCATCTTTCAACATTCTGTGTGACAGATAAACAAAAAAGGGGGTTGTAAATGTATGGCTGTGTAAATGTATCCGGATACTGTTCACTGCACTCTGCTTGGGCGAAATCCGAGTGGAAAAATAATCCGTCAAATACCACTCGTGCTTCAAAATTAATCGGATATTTTCCTCAAGCTTCCCTTTTTTTTCTGAAAAATTTGCCATACTCGTTCCTAGACAACGAAGCTATCGGAAAATATTTGATAATTTTGAAGCACGAGTGGTATTACTACTGAAAATTTTTAACAATACATCAGGATTTTTTGTTTTTGAGTGACGAAGAGGGATTTGTTATTTGTTGTTCATTTTTTGAAGGCCAAACACAATTTTGAGAAATTATCGGAGCAGATATAGTTCATAGACAGAAATTATTCAGAAAAATTCCAGTGCTGGTGCTGGACAAATCACAATCAACCGATTTTTTCAAGTACTACAAGTATTTGATGGGACATTTCGGTAAATCTTGTTTATGTGAAAAAAGTGTAGGCATGAAACATTATGAAATTTGCATTCTCAATAACATTAATTTTATATTTAACAGGAAGAATTGAGTAATTTCAAATTCCATACGATTGATTTTGCGGAGGGTCATATGGAATATTGGAAAAAAAATTAGTTGTAAAATGTTGAAAACTGAAGGACTAGTAGGGTTTTTACCAGTCGAAAAAAATCTAAAAATGTCAATTTTCGATTTAAAAAAAATGAAAAAAAAATCGATGGATATTTTGATCACAAAAAGCTCAATCAATAATCGAATTAAAATGAATCTGGAAAGTTATATTCCGAATTTTCCGACTCCACACTGAGAGAAGAAATGATGAGATATCTTCAAAAGCCGGGAAAATAACGAGCCCAATCGATTTTGCCCGATGAATCAATGAAAAACTTTCTTTATTTTTGGCTTTAAAATCGCCCAAATTGCCTCAGTGTGTATCCGACTGACTATTTTTTTTCAAAATGTTCGTTAGTCTTATGCCTTATGTACGATGAGTTTTGGGATATCCCGTATGTTAGGTATTCAGGAGAATCGGGCAAGTAATTCAAAAATGAATTATTTGATCTTTTCCCCTGGAACTATTCATTAGCGAGATAGATCCATAATTACCAGAACGTGATGTGAATGATGATACGTGGAGTTCAGCATGAGGGTACATTTGGGCGACATTAGTGCCATGTATGCTGCAGTAATCTTGATGAAATTGCGCACATTTTGAAACGACGATGACCTCGATAGTGTGAAAAATGACTTTGCCATCGGAAATTGGAAAAATGATTTTACACAGGAGACAAAATGGGAAACCTCTCTATATTGATCTCAATCTCTCCGTCAGTTTTCAATGTCATATAATTGCAATGGAAGTCATTCTTGCTCGATGAAAATGAATGAGAATCCATCGACAAACTTTCGTGTCCATTTCAGATCAAACACTTCCACGACATTTTCACCTGGCGGATTATCAAATTGATGTTGTAATTTTACATTAGATAATCCAGAGTTGAGCCAAAAGAGGACCTCGGCTCGAAAATTTCCCACTTAAAAATGATCGAATGAGATTTCACTATGAAAAGAAAACAAACATTCATCATCTACATATCATGTTTCCACACTGAGGATAATTTATGCAGTGTCTTCAGAACGCGATGCAATGAGAGACAAAAATTCAACAAACAAGGCATTCGACGTCACATTCCACAGGTTTTTCTATAGATTTTTTCTTCGTGAATACAATGGGCAACTACGACAATAATAAAGCATGAAAAATATCCATTACCATGAGAGGAAGGATTTCATGACAAGTATCAATAGATTTTGATATTTATGTGGAAGTTATTATGTTAAGATTCACGCACGAAAAAAAAATTTTAACAAACCTAGCGAATTCGTTAGAAAATTCTATTGGATTTCTATTGAACTTTCTATTAGTTTTTGGCCGATTCTATTGAAATGTTCAGGGGAAAATATTGAATAGAAAATGTCGAATTTTATAAGTTTTTTTCATTCTAGTTTTTGTTCCTTCTCATCAAGAAAATCAATCAAAAAAACTTGGACTATGAAAAGAAAACAAAAATTCATCATCAAAATCGTTCATTTTAATGGTCGAATTTTTAAAAAAATTTAAATTCTAGTTTTCTTTTCTTTTCATGAAGAAAATCAATTCTGGAAAATTTGAGTGGAGAAAATTCTATAGAAAATATCTCAATAGAATAAGTCGTATAGAAAAATCGAATTCTTTTGACTTTTTCTATCGCATATTTGCTACTGAACATTTCAATAGAATCGGCCAAAAACTAATAGAAAGTTCAGTAGACATCCAATGGAATTGTTTAGCGAATTCGCTAGGTTCTTCTATAAATTTTTTTCATCCGTGTTGTTTCTGCACAAAAAAAAATTTTATATTTTAATATTGAAATTACTGAGTGATTAAATGAATAAGCTAAAGAGATTCATTCATTTATTCATTCCGTTTTTTGTCCGTCGAAAATATGTGGATAATGAATGAACTAAATAAATTTATTCATTCATTCATTTATTTTGCTAAATTTGTTAGGTTTATTCTCTGTATTTATTGGCGTTCTCTCAGTCAAAAATTTACTTGAATATTTCAAAAAATGAAATTCCACGAATGTCCATAGAAAATATGTAAATAACATTAATTAATCTTTATTAAATATTTGCACGTTTCAAAAACGCGTGGGAGAAACCAATAAAATTCCCATGGAATCAACCTCTCTACACGGAGAAAAATTTTCTAGAAAAATCCTTGTGTGGCACCAGAAAAATTATGGTGCCCTCAATAGTTATTCCGGTGCTGAACGATAATTTTTCCGGCGCTACACAATAATTTTTCCAAGTGTACAAATTGTTATTCGTTTATGGTACTAGCGCACTGATAGACTGAGTCATTTATTCCAAACGAAATTCGTTAACTATTAACGAACGGTAGAGTTGAATATGACCAAATGAATATTCGTTAATAGTTGAGGAATGGTTCACTTGAGAAGTGAAAACAGAGTCATACAAGGCTCCTCAAATGTGCATTTGTTAACTATTAACGAATGAACATTTGGTGAGACCGAATAGACCCTCGTCTCCAAACAAATCCATTCGTTAACAATAACTAATCATTCTATCAGTGCACATGAACTGTTTTAGAAAATTTTGTTCAGTGTATTTTTTGAAATAGAAATATTTCATCTGTCCACTATCCAAGTGGTCTAATTTGATATTTTCATCAGTGATGACAATGCATAAAATATCAAGATAGTAAAATTCTCAACCATCAACCACAAAATCCCTTAGTTGGATGATTATCTATAAAATGAGCAATTTCAGAAAAAAATGTTAGACGATTGTTGCGCCTAGCCGGAGAAATTTCCTCCGAAAAAGGTCTCGCGATTTCTCCCAGCACTAGTCATTACCGAGATATTCGATCCCCAAGTAGTTCCAGAAAGAGTTTTCCACAAAATAAATTTCTGATAATTTCCAACTCGTTAGTGAGATGCTTACGCAGCTCTCAAACTCCCTGACTTGTTGATTTCAATCACATATTTTCATATAAACCGATAACACATCTGATTCACTTATTTTTCCTTGGTCGAATGCAAATATCAAGTGCAGCTGTCAGAATATGAATCATCGATAGATAATGGAATTTTTCACACTAATAACTGATCATTATTAATGAGTGTTGTCTTCAAAGGTCCAAGTGCACGCTCGACTGTCATCCCGAGTCGAGGATTTGGTTCTGATTGGACGTACACAGGTCTTTCAAGATCTCTCCAGACCTAGATGGACCTGGTAAGTCCTAATCAGTTCTGCGACGTACTTTTCCAGAGACCTTTCGAAACCTCAGTTCTTTTCGGTCCTGAGAAGTCCTCCTCGATGCTACCGAGAACGCGTGATTTTACGAGCGGGTGAAGGGGAAGGCATGTATGCGGAGGGTTGAAATTTGTAGCCAACGAGGAGACAGGGTTGCAGAATATATTTTAGCCACCCTCATCTCCCCGTTTGCAGGCGGTGTTTAAATAAAAAATAGTGAACGTTGATTCTGTATTTATTGACCCCCTGATGCCAATGAAACCCTCGGAGGTGACAGAAATGGGGAAAAAAAAATTTTCATTTTCACGTGGGTCAAGGGTGAAAGTCGATTTTCGCCAAAATTGAATTTTTTCGCCAAGTGAAAGTTGATTCTGTA